GGGAGCTCAGACCCCATGGACAGGGGCTGCTGTTGCAGAGCAGTCTCTGTTTGCAGCGAGCTCGGGCCTGCCACGGAGAGAGGCTGTTGCGAGGCAGCCTCCCCCCTACCCTGCTGCCTTTGATAAAAACCAGCTTCCCATGGGCACTGGTTCCTGCTTTCCTCCCCTCCCCCCACAGTCTCTCTTACAGAGGAAGCAAGGGGAGAAATGTGTGTAGTTGGCAGGATTAACCAATAAGACCAGTCTTATTGGTTAATTGTGTACTCATCGACATACTGACATCCCTAATTCTCAGAATTTGTAACAGGAAAAGAAGGGAAAGGAAAAATAAGGTTACCTGTTAATTGTAGTGCTCATGCTAATGAGGCTAATTGAGTGGTCTGGAAGTGTCCCCTATTTAGCTTTAGGTGTCCATGAAGTGTTAAATGTAAGGAAAGCTAGTTTTATAATGGGCGGTCCTGTTAAGGAGTTTGTTCAGACCAAGGGAAATACTATCAGATTTGAATATGAAGGTCGTCAGTTCTGCACTTTCTCTCTGTAGTTAGCTTGTGCAATTCTTTTGTAGAAGAATGGCTACCTTGAAATCCATGATTGAGTGCACAAGGTGGTTTAAAATGTTCCCCTACAGGTTTGTGTGTTACCATTTCTGGTATCTGATTTGTGTATCCATTTATCTTGTGTCATAGAGATAAATTCTTGTGAAGCTAATTCCATAATTGATAGAACTACAATGTCTTTAATGACCGTAGAGTGCTCGACTGTGGGAATACTACTTCAGTTCCAGCAAAAGTAATGTTAAATTATCTGTTTTCTAATGTGTTAATCTGTTATTAAAATTAATATGTTGGTATTGTTTCATTAGTCTGAAGGCCTAGTCTGTTTTAGAGATATCAAACCGGGAGCCCCACACCATTATCTAGTAGTGCCGATAGAGCATATGGGAAACTGCAAGACTCTAAAGAAAGAGCACATACCTCTAGGTAAGACTAACTATGGCTGTTGCATGTATCAAAAGAAAACATTTGTGGATTAAAAATGCAGCGCGGCAGTGAGCAGGGGTGTGTTTGTGCTGAGACCCAGGAACAGGGATTCAGCCAGTGTCCTCTCCTGCCTGCTTCCTTTTAAAAATGCAAAGCAGCGGGGGAAGGGGAGGAGGAGGAGGAGAAGGAAGGGGTTGTGCTGAGACCTGGTGTCAGCCAGGAGCAAGCCCTGAAACTGCCCTTCTTTGTCTAGTGATAGAAATGTAGCCGTGTTAGTCTGGGGTAGCTGAAGCAAAATGCAGGACAATTAAAATTGTGTTCATTTATGTAATTGTATCCTTTGGTATATATGGTTGTGACTATTTTCTTCCACTATTTGATCTGAGGAAGTGGGTCTGGCCCACGAAAGCTCATCATCTAATAAACCATCTTGTTAGTCTTTAAAGTGCTACATTGTCCTGCATTTTGCTTCTTTGTCTACTAATTGAATAGTCTATTTTAATTCCATCAACTACTCCATTAGCCAATTAACTGCTACTTAACATTCCTAATACCAACCTGAAGGATACACTGTATCCATATACTTACTCAATTATATGACATCACATACATCTTCAGTTCTTCATTTTAAAATGTTTAATGTTAGAAAATAGTGAATAATTTCCTTCTTATTTATGAGATACCTTTTACTTCTGATTTGTTGAACTTTATTTTGAAGGAACTTGAAATTCAATAAAAATATACAATCATTTAAAGTTGATTTAGTTAACTAAAACTTAATTGTGCTGAATTAAAAAATAAGCCTTTCACAACAGACTTTGCATTTAGAATGGATTTCTTAAACAAAAGACAGATTATCTGTAGTTAGTGCAATGAGCTGATTGGCACTGGTCATCATATCCTTCAGGATTTTATAGTAGAATGTCTTGTCCTTTCACAGCCCTAGTATTTATTCATACTTTGGAAGAAAATATGCTTTTCTGCTTCTTTCAATTTCATATTGGTGTCTCAACTCTGAATACACTAGTCCTTCAGTTGTACAAATTGAATGACTTGAAATGTAGAAAATATTTTCTCTGCACTGTGAAGAGGCAAATGCTGTCAAATGCTGGGTTAAAAATTCTTCAAACCTTGGTTAGCCAGTGACTGCCATTTCAGTGGTTTGATTTTTCTTTAAAATTTTGGCAGCAAATGTACTACTTGAATATTTATTTAAATTATTTTAATGATAGTGAGTTTAGGTTAAGACTTTAACATAGGTTGTCACACTTCAAATTTAATTTTAAAAGGTTTATTAAAATTAAATACAGAGTCTGATTTTTAAATTTAAAAAGTCTTTTTTGTTGTTTTATAAAGAGATCATTGTTTTACCTCTGTCTTAGTTTGCTAGATATTCCCTGTTTATGCCGGGAATTTGACTAGCATAGCTATAGCAGAATAGTTATACTAGCATAGCCACAACAGAATAATTATAAATCCTTTGTGTGATTACTCTGATTTGTGATAATTCTACCACAGCTCTGTCAGTCATTTTGCCTGTGTATACAAACCCTTAGATCCAAGCATATAGATATTTCTTCTTGTCTGAAATTGAGAATTTAATTTAAATTGATTGAGAATCTTTGATAGTGCTTTTCATAAATCCTTCCCCTCCCCCTTGAGAAATGGAGAGAAAAAATAAGTACAGGCAGTCCCCGGGTTACGTACAAGATAGGGACTGTAGGTTTGTTCTTAAGTTGAATCTGTATGTAAGTCAGAACTGGCGTCAAGATTCACCCACTGTTGAAACTGATCAGCTTCAGCAGCGGCCGAATCTGGACGCCAGTTCCGACTTACATACAGATTCAACTTAAGAACAAACCTACAGTCCCTATCTTGTACGTAACCCGGGGACTGCCTGTAGCTTATTTCAAAAATTGGCACTGTCTACACAGCACTTATTTCAAGATAAATTGCTATTCCAAAACATCCCTTATTCATCATGGAATGAGGTTCATGGGGATGTCGGAATAGCGAGCCCATTATATTTCAGAATAATGGGCACATTCAAAAGCCATGGAATAGCTATTTCGGGATACCTCCAGTATCTAAAAATAGTGCTGCAGTATAGACATACACTTGGCCTAACCCAGTATGATGGAATGACGCCGGACCCGCAGTTACGAACGGGGCCCTCCCTCTCCCTGGTCTCCAGCAGACCAGGGAGAGGAAGCAAAGCGGCGGAACACACGGGCAGCGGACAGGGCTGCCCGCTGCCCTCGGGCTCCATGGCTTTGCTCTGCTTTGCTCCCCGTCCCCCTGGTCTGCAGACCAGGGGGACGGGGAGCAAAGCAGAGCAAAGCCGCGGAGCACGCGGGCAGCGGGCAGCCCTGTCCGCTGCCCGTGTGTTCCGCCGCTTTGCTTCCTCTCCCTGGTCTGCTGGAGACCAGGGAGAGGGAGGGCCCCGTTCGTAACTGCGGATCCGCCGTAATTCGGATCTGCATAACTCGGGGACTGCCTGTATGTGGAAAGGTATTTTATTACTAGCTTTTTTTACCCATGCTGAATTGGGTTATTGTTTATTAATGGTATTGGAAAGATTGTTATTTCTAAAAGTAGGTTCAGTTTCAGTGAGAACAGATTCAATTTTTGGTTTTAAAGATGTGTAGCATTCATAAAATGTCAAAGATTTTTGTGGTTTAAAAAAACAAACAAACAGTGGCTATTCTCCATGACTTCCATATTCTGCAAGAAATGTGTACATTAAGCATCAAAAAGAGACTATGAAACATTTATCCTTGGTCATGTGAACATTAATTTTTGACCTGAGAATCTTTCATTCAACCTCTTAAACTTCAAAAAAGCTTTTAAAAACCCAATAATTTAAAAAATAAACTTGAAATAATTCTGTATTAAATGTCCGAGTCCTTGTTTTATTTTAGCATTTTTTTCTTAACATCCTAGCAACAGTGCTACTCAACCAGTGAGAGTACTTGTGTAGGCTGGTCACCAGTGGCAGCTGTCATTCTTACTAACACACGTTATCCTGCTTAGTGCTGGATTAGCTAACACAGATAAAAATACCTTTGTCCTGTCTGCTGCTACCACCACTGTAACTACATCAGTGACAGGTTTTAAGAAAAATGCTGGGCCCTAAAGATTGAAGTTCTGTATCTATCTACAAAGCAGGTATATCACAGGGAGCAACTGAACTTCTGATGCAATGATATTCATCAGCATTGGCCTGAAACTCTTAAGGGTGAGGTGATATGTTTTTGGCTGATGCCAAAATCTGGATATAAGTTTTTGATGTGACAATTTGACTACTAAAGGGGTCCCATGTCTAACAATCTGCACTAGATTCAAATTAGAAAGGGAAAACATTTGTACTTTATTATCAGTCTTGTGAACTTTCCAATTATCCCTGCTCCTAAATTGTTATACATTTTAAAATAATACTTTATGAAACACTTCTTATAGACTGAAAGAGTTTGGGGGCTGTTATAGCGAAGTACAGATTTTTTAGATTACTCATTTAGAGGCATTTAGTGCATTATATTTTGAATTCAAATTCAATTTAACTTATTTTCTACTTAGTGGAGAAAATGATGGACGCTGGAAAGAAAACCCTTCAGCAAAATAATTTTACTGACTCCAATGATGTAAGGTACATAACTTGCTTTCTGGATATATCTAATATACTATTGACTTTTTTTGACAACAGTACTTGACAGATAATGGTAGCAGGGTGGACTTGGGAGTTGATGAGGATTTGAAATACAGCATAAGCTATCTGGTGGAATATGCACACATGGGACCGTAAACTATATTTCCACTCATACATATCTAGTGCAAAGTTAATTTGGTTTGAATATGTGGTAAAATGTATCATGATTCTATATGAAATTAGCTTTATGTTTGTTTTCTAGAAAATGTTGAATGTAACTACAGTAAACTTCCGATAATCCGGCACCTTTAGGACCCAGGGGGTGCCGGATTATCAGATTTGCCGGACTATCGGAAGGGGGGGGCTATGAGGAGTATGGGAAATGGGGGATGCCATCCCAGACCCCTCATAGCCCCTCCTTCTGATAGTCAGGCTCTGCTCCAGGGGACCCCGATTCAGCCAATGCTGGTCAGTTTCAGCAGCGGCTTAATCGGGTAATCCGGCACCTTTAGGACCCAGGGGGTGCCGGATTATCAGATTTGCCGGACTATCGGAAGGGGGGGGCTATGAGGAGTATGGGAAATGGGGGATGCCATCCCAGACCCCTCATAGCCCCTCCTTCTGATAGTCAGGCTCTGCTCCAGGGGACCCCGATTCAGCCAATGCTGGTCAGTTTCAGCAGCGGCTTAATCGGGGACGCCTGCAGCAGAGCAGCTGGAGTGCTGCCTGGTTCGTCTGGTAGCGCCAACCCTTGGCGTGGTGAGACCAACCCGGCAGCACCCCAGCTGCTCTTGGGGACGCCTGGGGCAGAGCAGCTGGGGGGGGGCCGCGGCGGGGGC